TTAGGGGTTAGGGCCTTAGGGTTTAGGGTTTTGGGTCTAGGGTTAATGAGGCTTTGGGGGTTTAGGGCTTGGGGCTTCGAGGTTTGGTTTGGGGCCTGGGGTTTAGGGTTTAGGGTTTAGGGCCTAGGGTTTTGGGCTTAGGGTTGAGTGCTTTAGGGTTTAATGTTTAGGGTTTAGGGTTTAGGGCTTGAAGGTTTAGGGCCTAGGGTTTGAGGTTTAGGGTCTAGGGTTCAGGGCTTCAAAGGGTTCAGGGCTTTAAGGTTTAGGGCCTAGGGTTTAGGGTTCTCTAACTGGGGTGGCTAGTAAAAGGTTGTTCTCGGGCTATTATAGGCAGGTTTATAGTTCAGGATTTCGCGTAGGTTAAGGTTTTAGGATGTAGGGTTTAGGGCAGGTTTCTACCCATATTCTTGTTTACAATGAGCCTTCAAATATCCATGGTGTACTTTGCGCCTTAAACCCGACACCTCAAAACCCTGAACCCGGCCCTATCACTAAAACCTAAACCCTAAACCCTAAGCCCTAAATATCCTAAAGCCAAACCGCAAATCCTAAAACGCAGTCAGCGGTTTCCGGCTTCGGAGTGAACTTGGAAGCTGTCAGTTAGCTTCTTTTGGGCAGAGAAGGGTTTATAGGAACGGTAGCATCCTTATGATAGTGGGGGTTTAGGGTTTAGGGTGTTATGATTGTTATCATTCCTTGTACTGCCACCTTTGTTATGAGGATGATTGTCGGTTCTTATTCCTGCCATACATTGTCAGTTACACTCTTGGCCTGTTTTCTGGGCTGGGGTGCTCTGGGCCCCGGTCGAAGGTTAGGCTGTTCGGCAACCCCAAGCACGAAGCCTCGGAATGCCCCAAAGCCCTAAACCCCTTAAGACACCCAAAACCCTAAAATACCCTAAACCCTAAACCACAAACCCTAAACCCTCAACTCCACAACCCTCAACCCCAAAAGCCGGGAAAGAGCCCAGAAGAGGTTCAGGAAGAAGCGCAGTTCCAACTGGGTGTGGGCCTGCGATGCCTCATCTCGGCCGAGGGGGAGGCCGGCTTATGGGATACTACAGTAGGGTTTAGGGGCATGGGCTATATGGGGCATGGGGTTTATTGGTTTGGAGTCTAGGTTTTATGGTTTAGGGTTTACGGGTTGAGGGTATAGGGCTCATGGTCTAGGGCGTTGTGAGGTTTTGGGGTTTAGGGTGTCTTCAGGGCTTAGTTAGGGATGTGTGATTTTCGTCCCAAAACCTTGAAACCCCTCAAACCCAAAACTCTCTAGTCCCTAAATATGCTTGCCCCTTACACCCTAACTGTCCCATGACCCTTCGAACCCGAGACCTGCACTGTGTTTATAGTCCCGAGAATCCCTAATCCTAAATCCCCCTTCAATCATGCTTCCCTAAACCCTAAACGCAAATCCCTAAACACCCGCCCCCAAAGGTGCTTCCCCGCTTCGCCTCCCTCTATAGCCTCGGCATCACAGACGGAGCCACGCTGACGGCGCACACGCGCGGGGCGCGCCCTTGTCCGAATTGACAAAGCCAAAAGCGCCTTTAAACGAGGTGGGGGGGGGGGGGAGTGAGTGACTAACGGAGGTATGGGTATGCATAAGTTCCTCACTGTTGTTTGAGCCTTCTTTCGTCCGTTTGTTTCTTGGTTGTCCGGTGGGGTAAAGCCTTTGGGTTTGGAAGATGGCGGGGCATGGTGTTTAGGGTTTGGGACTTGGAAATTTCCGTGTTTCAGTCAGTTTTGGATGTTGCTGGCGTGTGAGGTTGAAGGTTTAGGGTTTAGGGTTTTTGGGTTTAGGGTTTTTGGGTTTAGGGTTTAGGGCTTAGGGTTTAGGGCTTCTGAGCTTGGATTTGCGGTTTCTAAAGCCCTAAACCCTCAACCTTGGGAGTGTTTATGACTGTGAGGGTGCTTTCTGTAAGGGCCTAAACAATTAGAACAGGGTTTTGGGGTCCATTATACGAAAATGAAAACAATAATAATAATAATAATAATAATAATAAAAATAATAATAGTAATAATAATAATAGTAATAATAATAATAGTAATAATAATAATGATAATACTACTAATAATAATAATACTAATAATAAAAAAAATATAGTATTAGGAATAATAATAATAATAGTAATAAGGAGCCCCCGACATAGTAGAGGTAATTATTAATTGAGGCCCCCTATATCACGGGAGGCATCTCGGCGTGAGGTGGAGGCCCGAAAACCCTGGGACCCTCTTTCGGCGCGTCCGCGCGCGAACTGAAAGGATGGCTGCTGTGGGCCCATAGCGGTTCTGTATGGTGTTGCAGGGTTAGGGTTTAGGGTTTAGGGCCTATATAAGGGTAGTTTTCTAAAAAAGGGTCCCTTTTTTCTTATGTCCCCAAATTATTACGGCACCTTTAAACTAAGGACCCTAGAAGGGAACCTAATTAGGCCCTAATTCAGACAACTACCCATAGGGGTTCTGTATGGTCTTGAAGGGTTTTAGTGGGTAGTATGGTGTTTTAGAGAAGTTCTAGGTGATGTAGTGTGGTGAGCGCATAGGAATATTGGGTGCCGTTCCGGCGACATGATGAAACAAGCAATCGACACTTTACTTCAAATAGTCGCGAGAAAAGCTAACCTGCTCGGGCCTCTTGAGCTGGGCAAATGACGGTGAGAAGCAGTGAAGCCAGCGCAGAACCCTAAACCCTAAACC